GGGGGGGGGGGGGGAAGGTAACGCCGTTGGCAACAGCGAGAGCCCTCCGAAATTTCTATCCTTCCTGCCTTTCCAAATTCTGTAAAAGCGTCCCACGTGCACGCATAAAACGTCTCCCCCCGTTGCGTCACTGTCCGTCTCCAAGCTGTAACTTTAACACGCGCTTTAACTTCCCCTCTTTCTCTTTCGCGTGACACATAGAGAGCGCGATATAGAAAATTGTTTTATTAAAATATTACCGCGGCCTGTCGCGCGGGATTACCGATACGACGCGGCTTTGGTATTAACCAGGGATTATCGCGGTGCGATTAAGCCCAAAGGCGATAATCCCGAAAAGTGCTCGGAAGGGGATTTCGGACTAACTCCAAACTCTTTCGGCCACATTGAGGGGTAGAGGCATGTATATCACAAATTCTACGGTAATAAACAAGAAGAGAGAGAAAAGAGGAAAAAAGCGTGCGTGGCGTGTTAATTACGCGACATAAAGCGGCAGATCCACGAAAATCCGCATCTTGTTCTCGCGGATGTTGTTTTTCCGGGATACACCGTTTAAGATCAATTATCAGAATTGACAGTTGTAATAATGTTGGGAGTTATTCTCTAAAGTACAATCAGTGTATTCTTCACTGAAGTGCTATACTTATAAATGGCGGATTCAGTTGTAGAAGTATAGCATTGTAATTAATAAAGTCACGTTGAAGTTAGTAGTAGCAGCGAGTATTACCATTATTGGTGCACTTTACAAACACGGATAGTGTCATTGCACACAAGGCGCGTGAAAACCGTTAATACAATTGTCACAGAGGAAAACTGACAAGTAAATCTACCCAAAAGTTACACTTCGATTTCTTTCTAATTTGGCACAAATGTAGAAATACAAAAGATATTTAGGTCATATTTTTTTATTTTGGTCTACTTTGAGTTTCACGGACAGTTTATAGCTTTTTAATTTTCTCACTCTTATTATCAATAAGTGCAACAAAAATGTATAAGAAATAAAATTGAATACAAGATATAGGCGTTTGTGGTTTGCTGATTATGAGTATGAAGTCAAATGTGTAAAATTACTTGAATAAATAATAAAATATTCAAACAAAACATGTAAAAAATTGAAAAAAATTATTTATACAAATAATATTTCGGTTTGGCCAAGATTCAAAACATTTTTAACTAATTTAGTACAGATTTGAAATATTTCGGTTGGAATCTCGGCTAAAGAAGTTTAGAATAATACATGTCTCAGCTATGTCGATTTTGTTAAAATTTTAATTAAAATTGCCGGATTTCGGTTTTGCCGAGATTCAAACTATTTTTGATTAGTTTAGCACAGATTTGAAATATTTCGGTTGGAATCTCGGCTAAAGAAATTTAGGATGGTTCGTGTCTCAGTTATGCTGATTTTGCTAAAATTACTTAACTATATCTTGTATTTAATTTTATTTCTTATGCATTTTTGTTGTACTTGTTAATGACAGAAGTGAGAATATTAAAAAACTATGAAATGTTCGTGAAACTCAAAGTGAGCCAAAATGAAAAAATATGACCTAAATTTTTTTTGTACTTCTACATTTGTGCCAAATTAGGAAGAAATCGGAGTATATCTTTTGAGTAAATTTATTTGTGAAAAAAAGAAATGGTTGGTCTAAATAAATTACGATTATTTCTGGCTTTAATAATATTTTTTGATTGTTTTAATAAAAAATGGTAATAGTAATATGTATATAAAAGGTTATTATCGCTAATATTATAATAGAATTTAGAAAAAAATAGTTTTCTTGATTACAATTATTTCTCTATATGTTTACAGTTACAAATACCAAACATTTTTCTCTCAATGCAAAAAGTCGGAGTTGGTGTAGTATTTAACAGATTTGTATATTACAGAGATTTTGCAGTGAAATATCTTACTTCCACTGGCTAAAATCAGTCAGAAATGAGACGGAGCAGCAAAGTGGGAAAGTTTCCACTGAAAATTAATAAATACTCACCGATAATCGATGAAATAGTCTTTTCTATTAGAAATACTCTTACTAATTCACTTTAACTCTAGAACTCTAAACAT